ATATATATATATATATATATATATATATATATATATATATATATATATATATATATATATATATATATATATATATATATATATATATATATATATATATATATATATATATATATATATATATATATATATATATATATATATATATATATATATATGTATATGTGTGTGTATGTGTATATATATATATGTATATATATATATATATATATATATATATATATATATATATATATATATATATATATATATATATATATATATATATATATATATATATATATATATATATATATATATATATATATATATATATATATATATATATATATATATATATATATATATATATATATATATATATATATATATATATATATATATATATATATATATATATATATATATATATATATATATATATATATATATATATATATATATATATATATATATATATATATATATATATATATATATATATATATATATATATATATATATTGGTTCCTGTTGGTACATTGACGTATAATATGAAGCAAAATAAACTGTCTGTTCAAGAAATTGAATCATATTTACAGGATTATTACCTTTATTTCACAGTTTGTTGCAGTGTTTTTCATTGTTAGGAGCCATTGTTTTTAATGTAGTTTTGTCTGTGTATATTTGTTGAGTGTCAAAGCTCTGGTAGCCATTGACTTCCATTCTACAAATCACAACAGACCTAGTTTTTGCTAAAATTGTCCTTCTAATATGATCTAAGAGTGAGTAAATGTTAGTAATTTTTGAATGAACTACCACATAAAGTCTCCTTCAATGATTTCTGTAAAACCCTAACCTGCCAATTGGTGTTTACTCAAATTTGTTCATCACATCTACTGGGTGTTTTGTGTATTTTAATCAATGCTAGCCATTCTTGTCTGCAAAATGCATCAAGTTGCAGCACTCGTAAGCTCCATTCTGATGCCACCAAGTGGTGAATAGGAGTTCTGCATATGTGTCTGCTAAGTAGGCCTGCAATATTATGTGGGACTTCTCATGACATACATTTTTGCACACAGTTCATGTACAGTACATTGTGTTTCATTTCACATGCCGATAAAGAAAGTCAATATGACTCATATAGGTCAAGCTTGCTGTCTCACATTTTGCATGACTTTCAGAAATGACCCAGGTTTAACATTAGGGCACAGTTAAAGAATGTCAGAGGAAAGTTGTCTATGAGCAGAGCTTCAAGATTGACGTTTGATTTAGATTAGTGCTGTTAATCATACAAAACAACACATTGCTTGCATGAAACATCTTTAATTTGGTTTAGACATACAAGTACTCAACGTAAAGCTATCTACATTTACATTTGACTGAAGTGTTGCACGGTAAAGAAATTACCGTACACATGAACTGATGCCATCCACACAAACAGTTAATTTCACAAACACAAGTTTGACCATTTGTCTACATGAAAATGCAGTATCAGGTCACTGAAACCAAAACCCTTTTTATATAACTCCTGGCAGGGTAAAGATTTTGAGAAATTTCTAATTTAATTTTAAAGTGTTACTGTACATGTGGTTTAAAAATTCAAAGAGGATCCACATTCAGGATCCAACGGGTAGGACATATGATAATGAGAAATGGCGGATGTAGTTCTTAGTGTTGGAGTCGAGAACCAAGTCCTTAACCAGTTAAGTCTGAGTCCACAAAGGACCAGGTTGGACTCAAATCCAAGTCTTTAACATCCGAGTTCCAGTCCCGCCGATGATGTGGACTCGACTGTACTTGTGATATTTTTGAGTCAAAGCGGTCCAAGATTGAGTACAAGTTTTCTCAGGTGCATGACAAGACCAAGTCTAATTAAAATGGGACTCAAGTCTGAGTCCAAGCTTGGTAACATCAAATCTAGTAGTACTTCCAAATTCTATTCATTTGACTCATATTCATACTATTGACCTTATTTGGCAATGTAATGTGTATATATATATATATATATATATGTGTGTGTGTGTGTGTGTGTGTGTGTGTGTGTGTGTGTGTGTGTGTGTGTATATATATATATATATATATATATATATATATATATATATATATATATATATATATATATATATATATATTGGTTCCTGTTGGTACATTGACGTATAATATAAGTATAATATAATATAAGCAAAATAAACTGTCTGTTCAAGAAATTGATTCATATTCATATTTACAGGATTATAACCTTTATTTCACAGTTTGTTTCAGTGTTTTTCATTGTTAGGAGCCATTGTTTTTAATGTAGTTTTGTCTGTGTATATTTGTTGAATCTCAAAGCTCTGGTAGCCATTGACTTCCATTCTATTCCATTCAGGAAGTGTGCTCGTTTTCCAAATGTTTAAGAACTTCGGATTCAATTGACTATGGGGAAAATGACTAGGAATAATAAATATAGTACCAACTCCAGTAGCAGCCTATGCATTTTTTGAAGTACTTTAGCTTATGACAACAAACCACCACTCGACCCAGAATTATTACCACTCGAACCACTCAACCCATCCAGTAAACTCATTAATTTAGTCTAATATGTATGTCAGTCCCATACTTTTCTAATGGTCATGAAGTAAGTTTAAATATAAATGTAGTACCTACTTAAGACAACAAACAACTTCAACCCAGAAGTATCACCACTCTAACCATTTGACCCAGAAGTATAAAATGTGTGTTTTTTAAATTTTTTTTGGTAAATTACCCGTTTAATAAACAATAGAATTGAATGAAGTCCACAATAAAACTTCCACAGTCCGCAGCCACTACATTTGCGTTTAGTCTAATTTGTATTTTAATGGCACGCTGTTTTAATGTCAAAAAATCAATAGCAGTGAATGAGACTGGAAGTCTTGAGCCAAAAAAATTCCGAAGGCAGCTCCGTACCTGAAGAATAATATAGAAGATACTTAAGCTCATGAGTATAGTACCTACTCCAGTAGCAGCCTAGAGCAGTGGTTCTCAAAGTGGGGGTCAGGACCCCCCGAGGGGTCGCGGAACAATGAAGGGGGGTCACCTGGTGATTTCCAAAAATCTGTTTATTTTTTATTAAATCATGAGAATTACCATATTTTATCCATAACCTCCTGAAAAAATGTTTATAGTTTCTATATACTATATAGTTACTATAGTAGCTTATTGTTACTAGCTCTATTGGATTGTGACCCTTGGGGTAATTA